ATCATATCATAATAAAGCTTCTGTTTTCTCTGTGCTACTTCAGTATTCTTTTTTGCTTCTTTAATTAATTTTTTCTATATCACCCATTTTAAATTCTGGGGCTCTTTGTTGCACATAAAATAATTTATCTAACGGCGTTATAATCTTTCTGCCTAAAAATAACTCAGCAGGAGTTTTGCCCGTTGTATCATGTTTTGCGGTCCTAAGGGCGAAAGCAAATTCATTGACATAGTTATCCCAGCTTTTATGAAAATTTTTAACATAACTACGGATAATTTTCACTATATTTCTATTGACCCGTTCCGCTATATTTGATTGCGGCCGATACGGGACCATTTTTAAATGACGTATGCCCAGTTTTTTGGCACATGTCTTCAAATATATTACTTACAAATTGAGGACCATTATCCGATATAACTTTTAGGGGCGCCCCGTATTTTAAAATATATTTATTTAAAATAGAATCAGTAACTAATTTCGCGGAGGCTCGTTTTAAGGGAACAATTTCGGTCCACTTACTAAAATGATCAACCATAACAAGGAGATAGCGACTTTTATTTAACTGACTTTTTGGGAAAGGGCCCAATAAATCGATGCCAATTATTTCATTTGGAAATTCGGATTTAATACTATTTAGAAACCCGGCCGGGCGGAAATTAATATAATTAACTGCTTGACATGTTGGGCAGGACTGGACATACGCCCTTGTTAACTTTTGCAGTTCAGGAAAATAGACTGCCTCGCGTACGCGTTGGATAGTTTTTCGAATACCAGCATGAGAAGCTAAAGGGCTGTCATGGAGCTCCTGCAGGATATTTAATCTAAGACTAGCTGGGATAACAGGTCGAAATTCGTTGTTGGAATTCGTAGTTTTTGTATAAAATAATAGACCATCTATTAGTTCGTAATGGGCCGCCCTATTTCTTATCGCCACAATATCTTGGTGGCTAAAATTTTCAGGATCCTTTAAATACTCATAAATGTTTCCAAACTCAGGATCCTTACCCAGTTCGGTTATTACAGTTTCTCGGGAATTTATTGTACATGCTGTGAGCATTGCCACCTTTACAGTATTACCTTCTTCATCTATTTTTTATTCTGGATAGGGCATCTGCTACGATATTTTCCTTTCCGGGGGTATGCTTGATTACCAGATTATATTCTTGTAGCTTGAGTGCCCATCTTATTAACCTTGGGGATAAGTTTTTCCCTGAGTACAATCTAGTTACCGCCGCATGATCAGAATACACTGTTATTGGCGCCTTTCCAAAATAGACTCGGAACTTTTGCACTGCTAACAGAACTGCAAGTGCCTCTCTCTCGGTCGCGGAATAATTTCTTTGTGTTTGATTTAAAGTTCGGCTAAAAAATGCCACGGGCTGCTGATTTTGCGAAAGTACCGCTCCTACCGCATAATCCGAAGCATCCGCTGAAATTTCTAAATTCTCATCCTTTTCAGGAAATTTCAACACAGGGGCTTGCGTTAATGCTTGTTTTAATTTTTCGAAAGCACTATTGGCTTCGGCCGTCCACGAGAATCTTGCCTTTTTCCTTTTTAATTTTAACAATGGTTCAGCAATAGCTGCAAAATCTTTTATAAAGGACCTATAATATGAACAAAGTCCTAGAAAAGAAGAGAGCTTCTTCGCCGTGTTTGGAGTCGGATACTTTTGTACAGCGATTATTTTTGATTCGTCTGTCTCGATTCCTTTCTGAGATATTTTGTAACCTAAATATTTTAATTCAGGGGCTGCAAATTTGCACTTTTCGACATTAACTTTTAGACCGGCCTCATTTAATAAAGAAAACACCTGTCTTAAATCCTGTACATGTTGGTCGAGATTATCACTAGTAATAATGATATCGTCTAAATAGATAAATGTGGACTTTCCAAGAACAGGCCTTAACACAATGTCCATACATCGCTGAAATGTTGCCGGTGCCCCTGAAAGGCCAAACGGCATACGCAGAAATGCATAAGTGCCAGACTTGGTTATAAAAGCAGTCTTAGGCACGTCCTCAGGCCTAACCCCTATTTGAAAATAACCAGTCGTTAAGTCTAAAGTCGTCATATTTGGTGGATGTTATGTTCCTTAGAATTTCTTCAATAATAGGTAACGGATATACCGGATATTTAGTTATGGAGTTTAATTTACGGTAGTCAATCGCGAATCTCCACCTTTTTGGATGTGTCAATGGATAGTCATTATTTTTCTTACATAAAACCACCGGGCTAGCATAACTACTTGAGATGGGCGTTATGATCTTTTTACGTAGCATATCGGTGATATGCCATTCTATAATTTTTTCCTTATTCTTATCATACCGGTATGCTTTGTGGCGAACTGGCATTGAATCTCCTATGGTGTACTATGGTTAGTAACAAATCCTGGAATATCACTAAATAACGAAGCAAATTCACTTACCACTTGTCGGATTCTTTGTTGCTCTTCATTAGGCAGGTGGTCAAGGTTTAACATCGGCGGCTCCGATTTTTCTTCTCGAACTGGTTTCATCGTCAGCTTAAGGGACGCTTCATTAAAATCCAGCGTTGCTTGTGCCTCTGAAAGAAAATCTATTCCTAAGATAATATGTGCTTGCAGATTCTTTACTATAAAAAACATAACCTTTACTTGTTCGTCCTTGATACGGACGTATACAGCGGTAATTTACCTATGCACTTACATCTTTCTCCTTGCGCAGCTAACACTGTCGTATTATCCGAATTATATATGCGGTATTTACGAAAATACTTCCTAAAAAAATCTTCTGCCACACAGGAACACTGCGCGCGCCTGTATCCAGGAGTGCGGTGGCTGGGATATTATTCACCAACACTTCAATCTTCGGAAGAGTCAAATTTTTCACCATTACTGTATTTAACTTGAAGGAAGAGGGGTTTTCTTGGCCTTCGGATTTCCGCACCCTCCCGTCAGCAGAAATCCGTTTTAGTTTAAATTTTTTTCATTTCCGTGCTTTCCTTCTTTTTCCACTGGCCTTGAGACTTTTTTTCCTGGATTGCTATTGAACTGTCGACGTTCGCCGGCTGTTTTTTGAATGCTCGGGTTTCCTTGCCCACTGATTCGCTTTGCTTCCGTAGCCGTGTGCTTGAGTTTGCTGTAGTCTTGGCGCACCAAATTGGTTTCGTTGTTGATATTGGCGTCTTCTTTCAATGTCCGCCGTTCTTCTACTTTCAAACTGGATTGCTAGCTCAAATAACTTTTCCAGTGTAGTCGGATTTCCTTAATTCAATAAAGTCTTGCACTTGGGGAAGTAACCTCGGCAAAATCACTTGAATTATCTCAGGATCCGGACGGTTTCCATACAAGAGTTTGAAGACGTGAATTTTTCTTAAAATAAAGCTTGAGAGATTTTCGATTCTTTGCTGATATATGCTGAAAAGTTCCGTTTCTAATTTCGCACGATCCCTTACGACAGGGAAGGCTTTTACTAGGGCAGTCTTGAAATTTTCGTAAGTATAGGTGGGACTTCCTGCTTGACCCAAGAGACTTCTGCCTATACATTTGAACCAATTAAGCGCTTGGCCCCTCAAAGCGCTGGTAGCTAAGGTAACTTTTTGAAACTCGTGCACGGGGATAGAGCATGAAGTGGTCATCCAATTTTTCCAAAAAACTGGTTACCGGTGAGTTTCCATTAAATGTTGCTTCTGGTTTCATCGAAGCGCGCATGGTCTGGACGATGTAACCAAATCCTTCCAGGGCGGCAGCTGGCATTTCTGGATTCTGAGCCGCTTCTGCAGGCAGCACAGGTTCTTCTTGAAACTCGGCCATGGTTATTCTTCTTCGTTCGGGCGCCACTATCAGGTTCAATGTTTCCGTCCTTACTTTCTTTGGGAACATGCAAGGACCTGACTCGGAACAGAGAGCTTACTAAAGCTATGTTCAATAAATGTGGGAAGTAGACAGGATACACAGGAAGGGTATACAAAACCCTTTATTTTTCTCTCTTTACAATAATTTCCGTACTTCGGAATACAGAGACCAACCACTTGTGGTCTGAACGTAAGAATATAAAAATATTAACTAAACTAAACTCTAACTTAACTTTGGAATAATAAACAAGGGCCTACGTGGAAGATTGGCCGTATATTAACAGGAAGCCGTATGTAGTACAGAGAACTGTGAACACTACAATACGTTTAAAATTATCAAGAGGATTAAACCTCTGGCCTGGAAGGCAACCAGCAACTGAGTAAAACTTCTAAGGTAAGCGGCCTGCTTCGACTAACTCCTTCCTCTCTCTCGCTTGGCAAAAAGCCACAACTTAAGTACTTGGCGTTCGCCAGACAAATTTTGCATAAATAAGTTAACGCTTTTAATTCTGGCCGGAAGTAGAAAATAAGAAGTGATAGTAAAGATTTAAAATAAAATAAACGTTAGTAAAACTTAAGATCCTTACATAGGAAAATCGTCAAAATTGGTAGTCTAGTCGAAACTTTCCGATAATAAAAAAATGACTTTTACATTTTACTGTGACCGAAAGAATCTTCCTTGAGATCTGGAAGGAAAACTAGTTTAATGAAATGTTACACAATTAAATGGCAAGTAACATGAATATTTATATTTCTCCTAACATTCTTATTTCATTCATGACTTTTATTTAATTATCTCTCCCCGTGCTCTCTGACATGTGTTGTAAAAGAAAACACCGAACACGAATGTGTTTATGTAACACGAATGTGTTATGTTATTATGTGTAGGGTCGAAAAAATTTCACTTTAATTTTTTTAGGTAGAAAAATCTTCACTTTTATTTTGTCTATGGGAAAACCCATGTTAATTTCTAAATGTAAAGGGAAAAAGTTACACTTTGATTTTATAATGTCGAAAAATATTCATTTTTTATTTTTTTAGGTCGAAAAGTGTTATTTGTGTTTTTCCTCATAGGAAAAAGTTTAATTGTCATTATATTAAAAACTCTATATGCTTTTATATAAGTTGAAAACTTTATTGTCAGAAAAATAAAACACAAAAGAAAAAATACATTTCAAATATTTTATTGTTTAAAAATCATTCTTACACCATAAGTTGTTTTCACAAATTGATACAGGTTAATATCACTTATTTTACATAAATTTTCAATCATAGCATACATAGATTGGCCTTGGCTTCGTTTAAGTACATAATAAATACAGTATACTCCACATGAATTAGAAGTTACACTCTGTAATGAAATATTATTCCATTTTTTATTTGAACAGTGAAATTCATAAACATCTGGAGACTGTCCATAAGAATTAAAAAATTTCTAATTCTTCATCTTGAAAAAAGGCTATCCAATGCGCTCCAGGTTCTGTGGACTTAACTGTATTCACAACGATGGCTAATCGTGGATGTTTTCAGGCAAACCATCACAAAATTCAATATGATTCATCTCATCGTAAAGACTTTGATAAGCACCATAGCACCAAATAATTTTAGGAGGAAAAGGAGTGATCATTTGGTGATCCATTAATTTTTTAATAAACATGGTTTTTTCCGCTACCACTAGGACCAGCAGCTAACATCGCGAAAGGATGCTTTAATTTCAAAAGTTTCATCTTAACTAAATTCTTATTCGAAAAACAATTCTATTTATAGCTGTTCCACTAAATTTTTAATTTTTCTAACTTTCCATTTTTTGATAAAACTAAAATTAATTTTTCTAACTTGCCAGATTAATTATTGTAACTTGATTAAAATATTCTAACGTATTAAACATTTTCTTAAAAAGATTAAGAGAACGCTTTCTTTACAGAAGACTTAGTTTTTTAAAGTAGAAAACAAGAAATAATATATTTAAATAAAGATTTATGAAAGTTTCAAGTCATATCATTACAATTATTTACATCATAAATTTCCACAATAAAATACTTTTAGAATTTTGATTGAATGTACAGAGAATTTTGAGATAAAATTATTCAAACTAAAAATTATATGGCATAATGTCCGTATGCATAGGACGATATCCCATCGTCTAAAAGATACCGTTTCGTATCGAAAGGACACAAAGTAGCTTTCGTGTAGGCCACAGTCTTTATCTGATGACTGTGGCTAGCAATACGTTGCGCATGCGCAAGGCCGCGTTGTTGTTGTAAAAGACAGTTAACGTAGTCCACATGACGAATCTGTCTTTTAAGGATGGTTTTCGATACGCCCTTAGCAGTTTTTTTCTCAGTAGAGTTACTCAGTAGGCTGTACATTTTTGGCTTGAGTCCAACAAATTCTTGGGCAATTTGTCCAGATAGTTCATCTTTCATTTTACCGATCGTCTTTTTATTGGTAAGGCTGTAGAGGGGATGATTTTCTGGGTAATCTGAGGTATCGAATAAGTTCAAATTGTTGCCCATGTCTTGAAAAATAGCATCAGTTTCTATTTCGTAACAAAGACTGTCGGTGTCTGTGAATAATAAACGGGCCTTTGATGCATATGTTTTCTTGATATATTGATAATGAAATTGATACATCAACGTTTTCGATAAATCCAAGACGCTGAAGCCTACATAGATAGGACGATTCAGAACCAAGCTGGTTTTCCGTCGCTCAATGGCAGCCAGATCGTCAGTGATGATCTTGAAGGAATGAAATGTTGGAGCAGCGACTAACTTCTTGGCTCGTTTCTCTCGATGAACCAGATCAATGCAGGTACGTTTTCTGAGATTTTCCATCATCTTTCCGAAAACTGAATTGTTTAAGAGTTTAAATAAATCTTTTCCGAATGAAGATTTAGCCAGTTTACGTTGCCTAGTGTTGAATTCAATGTATGTTGCAAGCCAAGGAGATTGTTTGAAAGTCAACACTCGATGGATCTTGGTCACATGAAGCCCCAGTGAAACACACTGCTTCAGATTTCGGTAATGCATCACGTACCGATTCTTAGGTCGCAGATTTGGCACCAGTTTGGTAGAACTGCCCGGTGGGATTTGGAATTTAGTTGCCAGGTCTCGTGTGTAAGGTGACCACATATCAGGAGTCACGACGACTTGCTCGGGAGCAAGAGGATAGTCCGAATGATCATCGTGAAGTTCCCTTGGATACTCCAGATCAACTTCAAGGATACATCCTTCTTCCGCATCGTCAGCCATCTCCATGAAGTTCATGCCACTGAAGTCATGGGTTGGTAAAGCTTGGCTCATGGCCCATCTAAAAAGATAGAATAAAAATAATGAATATCACAAGTAAATAATAGAGAAAATATTACTCTAAACACTTGGAAAGGAACCCGTAAAGGTTATTAGCATCCAAATATATAATATAAGATGATGGCTTCGTTGGGTCATAATTTTCCATATATTTAGTATTCGCTTGGCTGAAGCGATGTGAAATCATAGCGATGCCACCTCGAATGCCCTTTTCTATAAAGAGATACATATCACGATCGATGAGTAACTCCAGTTGCGCGTCGGACATGCGTAGAGCAACTTGCCAGGCCAGACCAGGTGCTGTGTAAACATGTGCCGGATCCAGTTTGTAAAACTCAAGGCACAGTCGTCTGAAGTTTTCAAAAATATCCGCCAGAAGCAAAAAATCGCCTTTTACATAGAGGTCGTGGTAGTCTCCTAGATGATGTAATCCGAAATCTTCCCAGACTCTGTTCGCATGTAATCCTCATCGTTGATATCACTCTCTGTTAAATGGCTGTAGAAGGCAGAGAGAGGTGGAAGGTGAGGCTCATCAAATCGCTCAAAAACGAGTCTAGGTACTCATAAGGGTAGACACCTGGAAAAAGATTTAAAAAATATCGAGATTAAAAAAAAACCTATATAAAAAAGTAATAATACATTATCATATATAAAAAGTTATAGAAATTCTGGTTACCTTATCGAAGCATCAGATCTGTTTTTTTTCCCGAAAATAGGTTCTTGTCAGTTGGAATTGTTGGGGTTCCAAATTAGCCGCGAGTTTGTCTAAAGAAGCATTCAGAAATTGTAGAGAATCGATGAAGCGTAGAAGATGAATCTTTCTGAATTCTGCGGAATACACTTAATCTCTTCGTCTTTGAATTTTCCAACTGCTTGCATCAGGAGGTGAGAATCATATCCCTTCAGATTATGGAAGACCACAGGTAGAAAATTTCCAAATTTGAAATTGATGTTGCATCCATTATGAGCTGCTCCTCTGTAGACTCTCGTAAGATGGCAGTGGTCCCGCACCTAAAAAAATGAAAAATTAGTTTTAAAAACACATTATTATAATGCATATTACTGAATGAAGTTATAATAATTGAATAATACTTACCTTATCTCCATTCAATGGCTTCTCACAGATATGACATTCAGAGGCAGATTCATAGGCCCATTGATTTTCTTGGGTGAAAATCATGGACTCTACATTTTTCAAAATTTCAAAGATGCCCCGTTCTTCCAATAAAGATGCTAGAAAGTGGTTGACAGCTTCTTTCCCTCTATATACTTGAGGTTCCCGATAAAATGAACCGTCTGGTCTCACGATCACGTAGCTGTATCCTAAAGGAAGATGGTGGGATACAGGGGTGGTTGAGGACTTCGAAAGATCCGGTAGGCAGGTAGCTCGCTTCACTAAAATGGATTCGAAGTCGGCATAAACTATATATGGAATGGGTAGTTGAAACTGGTGCTTGACGAATTTTAACCATTTATTTTCCGACATTTTAATTTTTTGGGCCCCATGTACTCGACAGTCTTCTACATGCGCGTCGAGAGTCTTTCTTTGTAAATCTGTGAAGGCAATAGTCACAATAAAATGTTCCACACTTATGTTTGGTGAGTCCGGCAAGAAGAAGAGACATGCTCTTAATGAGACAATAATGCCTCTTCTCCTCATCGGAAATGAGCAACAGATTGATATGACAATCACCTAAAGCAGAAAAATATCATTCCATAAAATAATTTTCAATCTTAAAACATGCCTATTAAAGTTTACAAAATAGGGATAAATTACCGTTTCGACACCTGGTGATCCGAAGAGGTAAAATCTCATTGCTTTCCCAACCGAATGATTGACAGGTTGTTCATTTTCTCGAACTTGTCCAGCTGGTGAATAGAGGTAGGGAAGGACAGACCATCTATATGGATTTCTCTTTCATAGGGCTTATAGTGTGAAACTCTGTATGGCTGATCTTGACGATCTTCAACGGGATTGACGATCTTCAACGGGATGAAGGGCCGCCAGGACGCTCCAGACGAAACATTTGTGGTCCTCATTCTGTATATTGAGAACTGCCTTCTTACAGGCTAAGGCTTTCGGTAGAGGTATGTAAGAAGAGGCCGCCCCGGGTTTGTAGACAGCGGTCTTGAGTTCGAGGTATTGCACGGAGTTTAAAACCCATCCTGAACCTTTTTTCAGAAATTTGTCCAAGGAATCCAGCACCTGTAAAACATTTCATGAGTATTACTAATTTCACACACATTTTAAAATAAATTAAAGTTCAAATAAAATTAACTTTCTTACCTTTTCAATAGCTGCTTGCATGTCGGGCATTTCTCCCGTGAGCGTAGTGCTGCATTTCGATCGAAAGTAAGGGGTGCATGTCTCCTCCTCGGTCTCTGACACTTTTCTGACCATCTTCACACAAGCATTCAAGTACCATTTGATACCTCGGTGCTGTGCGGCAGTTTCTTGAATTTTGCTCGCGACTTCGGTTTTTGACAACTGTAAAAATACTTGCAAGTCATTCTTGGTGTTTTCACTGGGATAAATGATTTCCGTAGCAAAAGTACCAAGGCAGGGTGGACGTTCTTGCCGTGGTCGTTTAGGGGCAGGCATAGTGGTAGGGGGAGCTGCTCGTTTCACTGCGTGAGATGCTCCAGGCTTCGGTGATTTAGCATGAAACTTCATATGATTATCTAGTTTATCGGAGCGTCGGAAGATCTTTTTGCATATGGAGCAAATGTATTTACCTGCCGAATGTTGCACGTTAATATGCCTTATTAAATTCTTCCGTTGTGTAAAGGTTTTATTACACTCCGAGCAAGTTAAATTTGGATTATCCACAAAAGGCAAATCAGGCTGCGATGATGTAAGATCACCAAAATTCATATTAGCAATGGTTTGATCTTCCAAAGGCATGTCTTCATGTTCAAAAACGTATTCAGGATCCATCTAAAAATATAAGAGAACAAAAATAAGTATTATAATTCAAAAATTCTCGAACGTAGAATTTTTGAAAAAGAAAAATACTTACGTTGGCTTGCGTCTGAGAAGCCTCGTGATTTAAAAGCATAGCCTCAGATGTATGTTCCATCCGAAAAAATAAAGAAAAAATTCAATTGTTCATGTAAAAAATATTAAAGAAATAAAAATGAACGGGAAAGTTAAAATAATAATAACTTAAAATAAACCTACTTACAATATTAAAATAAAAACAAACTCATTTAAAAATATATTGCAGCGTTAAATAGAAAGAACGCAAAGGGCAAATCATCATTTTAATAAATGCTATAATATTTACATGGAAACACCAAGTATTGTTAATTTAATTAAAAGAATTACAATAGGAAAGAAAAAACATGCTACAGATAATTTACGAAATGCGATTATAATTTACATGAAAATACGAAGTATCGTTAATTTAACTAAGAGAATTTACCTTAGGTATCATATTTTGCTAGAATCTCAAATAAATGTAATCTATAAATAATAGCGAAAAAATATAGAATAAAATTAATATAAAAGAGGTATAGAAAATGAATGATTTACATTAAAATGCAACGGGTTGAACTAAAGTGGTCCTTAGAAAATTTTGAAACAAAAATAAAGAAGAAATTATAAAACCATGCATGAAATAAACAATATTTTATAGACAAGTAGGTATTAATTATCTAATAAAAAATAAATACTAACAGCTATTGAAAATAATTAGATATTAACATCTAATAAAAACAAACTAAATATTAACATAGAATCTATAAATACAAACACGATCTATAATAAAATACGTACCTCGAATAACACGACTAGATTCAAACAGGAAGGGTGAAAGCAGAAGCGACGCATACAGCATAAACGGAAATGATGAAAAAGGGTTCAGCGTCTATCCACGAGAACCAATCAAAAAGCGCTATGGGTGAGACTACTGCCCTCTAGCGGTCGTTGCTGAACTAAAAAGAATGTTCTAGAAATTCTAACATGTTGCAATCACGTTGCGGATTTGCGTCAACAGATAAGCGCGGACATGAAAACATAAACAAGATTAAACATGTGGCTGACGTAGCAAGATAATCCGAGGTGATAAAGCCATGGACCTTATAAGAAATAGACTAACCCAGTGGGCGGGGCGTGCGTCACCGACATGTCGGCAAGAAAGAGTAGGGACGATCTGGTTTAGTTTAACGTTGAAACCTATGGCGTTTGTATCACACAACAGATTTTAATTATTAAATGTGACACGTTGTATAGTGATGATGAGAGTATGAAAGTGACAGTTTTTTTTTTCCAAATAGGAATTTGAATATATCTCATTAAAGCAGTTTTTACTGCATTTCGCACACTTTTTTTCACACGCGTAATTCTTGTACAAACATCTTTACGTTGGTAAAACGGTAAAAACTCTAAGCACAAAATTTATGAACTTAATTTGCGTAAAAATAAAGTAAAATTAAATAAGATTGCTAGTACGTGATGCTTTGAAATAAGTAAGGTAAAATGAAACAAGATCTGATAATTTTTTTTAAATTTAATGAACATTTTCAGGCAGTGATTTTACAAACTATAATAACATTACAAAACGATCATATTTATTTGATTATAGGATCATTAAATTATTAACATTAAAGTGGATTAGTTATTTTAATAATTCATAAAATTTGGAGCATAAACTTTTCTAAACGTAATGAAGGGAAAAAAAAGATAAAATAAAATCTAGAAGCACTCAAATTTTATATTACGCCCAAAAGGAACCTTTTTTTAAAGTTTTGTGTGTTACCTATATTTATTGAATATCATGTTCTTCGCCCGTAAACCAAATACATTTGAAAACAGCATATCTTTAGAATTTTTGCACTGGAGATAAAACTGTTATTTTCCGTACAGTGCTCGCTCTGAACTCGTTGAGTTTGTTAATCAAAAATTCGTTAAAGTTTTACAAAATATGAAATAGATTAAAATAAATTCAAAATTCGGCCGTCCAGATGCCCATGTTCTGTTGGAGAATTACATTATTCAAAATTTGATGGCTCTAGACACTGTCGTTTTTGTCACAGTGCAAAAAACATACATGTATTCATGTAGATTTCTGCATTATTTAATTTCTTTACATATAATACAAGGCGATAATATTTGGTAACAACAATTTGCAAGGAGACACGGACACTTATAGTAAAACAGCGCAAAATGCAGCTTCGAAACTAACAGTCTTTCTAATAAATTAAAGGGTTTGGGTTAATAAATTAAATTAACAGTAAATAAAAAAATCTTATGCAGAACTAAAAATAAATTAAAAAAAAATAGTCACTATAAAATACAAGCAAAATTAATTATGACGGTTAAATACAATTTTAATATTAGAATTAAATGTATAAAAATTTTTAAGGCATCAAAAATGTTTATCACTATGATGTATTATGAAAGATAATTGAAAAACATTTCCTTTATAGAAAATGTGCTATAATACTCATCTATAATTTTAAAAAAGCAGCACAATTTAGAATTTTAAACAAAACTTTCAAAAATTCTTTTTTAAATATTTTAGTACCTTTTACTTATTTACACCAATAAAAGGCATAAAAATTGCAAGAGAAAATTGCTTGTTAGAAATTTTCTATTAGTTCAGATTTAAAATATTATTTTCTAAGAGAAGTAGTTACAAATTTCCTTACAGCATAGAAAAAGCTAAAAAAAATATCCAGCCCTGAAAGCATGCAATAGCTTTATAATTATTTGAAACGTTAATTATGCTTGATAAATATGCTAAGTTTTAAAAATCAATCTCAATTTCAAATAAAAATATATAGAAATTCTAATTTTTGTGAAATGATCGCTACAACCAGCTCTTTCTTAACAATTATACACGCTGCAATAGGCAACCAATGTTAAATTTCTGGAAATGGTCCCTACTCCTCCGGATGTGATCAAGGTGACAGCCGACAACGCCTCAGACGAGGGAGAAAATCCGTTTGGGTTAGTCTATTTCTTATAAGGTCCATGGATAAAGCATGATGGCGTCACGAACAAGAAGCAGCACGTCCGTACTTGAGCCAAGTGGTTGATGACCTAGCAACCTCGCGTGCTCAATTCCCTCCCCCTCTGCGCCTCAGGAGGCTCTGCCCATCTGCTCCCCGCTCCCTGTGGTGCAGAACCCCCATATTATACCTACTTACCTTTAAATGAAACTAATTACCATTAAATTGCATTATAGTAATAATAAAATTAAGCACTAAGTACTATCACTATGAAAAATGATTTCTTATAGTGTACGTTAAACTGGTTTATTAATAAAAAAGGCATTTTACCATGGAAGTGAGAAGTTAAAACTCTGCACCGGGTGCCATTAGACCTTGCTACGCAATTGCCACTACTGTTAACGACAAAACTAAATTTTTCAGTTAACCCCACCTTCACATCGCTTTCCTTGAACATTTGTACTCAATAATATTTACGCCCATTGTCAAGAGCAATTGTCAACGGGCATTGCTCATAATGTTCTGCCATTCCATTAAGAAAGAGGGATATTCGATGATAAGAAATTTAGGTTTTAATTATAAGAGTGAAATTCGTAAATCTCAGATTTCTACAACCCTTAATTTAACTCCGAAGTGCATTTTCTTTTCTTCCTGTAACTATATTTCTTTCAATACTTTTTATTGTTATTATCATCATCCGGTACAATACAGCCCTAGCTATCTTCGGACTTCAGCTTTTGGATTGAAGCTTTACGGGACTTTTTTGTTTTCACAGAAGGAAACGTGTTTTGCATTCGGTTTTATAGAATTTAAAATATTTCACTTTTCTTTCCTAATTCTATTACCTGTGATGAAGCAAAACTCGATAAGTAAAAAATTTCTTCACCTGCTGTACAGTAACCGCATTTGTCTTCAAGCAAAAAATTAAATTGACTACCGAGATTTTTCAATTCTCGGACTGAGCTGAAGTACAATGTTTTAGACCTCCGGATATTTGGATTTCTAAAATGCTTAATATGGATACATAATTAGTTCAATGCATAGTAAGAGAATAAGTATTTTCTGCATGTGCCAATTTCGGAATTTTAGCTATAAACCAGTATCAGCTATAAACTAGTAAACATTTAAGAATAATTTTATTTTAAATAAGGGCATTCTGCTCTATTGATGAAATTTTCAAATATCATTTGCTGATAATTGAATTTTTTTCAACGCGGGTTACGCTTTTCCGAAG